AAAATTAAAACAGCAATTTACTGATGAAAAACTAAATGATTTTGAACTTACTTGATTACAGAAAAATCTTAATTATGGCCATCTAAATGTGCAAACTTTGTCAAAACATAGTCAAAGCAGGCATCGTAACAGCATTCAAATAATTAAAAAGGAAGTTTGCCCACTACAAGTGCATGTTTAGACTTAAAAAAAGCTGTGAGTCATTATCAAAGAAGTATTAGGATTGCTTTAAAAAAAACAGTTGAAGGAAGTCCAGAAATCAGACCACAGGAGTGTTAAGAAAGAAAGAAAAAGAGGAAATCCTACGTACACACGTATACAGTTGGTTAAAAAGTGAAATTGTGTAGAACATGAGAAAGATTTGCATTGTGCAAAACATAGAGGTTTTGGTCTTTTAAAGACCCAACACGATTGTAAGGAAAACAAAACAATTGAATAACGCTCCAACTTTAAGAATGACTATCATTTATTTACGAGATTGAATCTTCATTTTTCATTTCTTCTGAATGACAAGTTTAGCTGAATGCTTACGCCACTAGTCAGCTAAAGGCCTTTTCACACTAGACAAAATCTTGGGAGTGGCCCCCGGCCGCCGGGCGACACTGGGGTTAATATAAGCCATGAATCACACTTTAAATTCTCAGCCTGAGCCACCCCTGAGATTGTTATCTCCCGGGGAGAGCTCAACCCTGCTCAGGATCAGGCTTGAAATTGTTGTCTCCAGGGCCAGACATCTTCTCTGGTGGCAAGAACTGTCGTGTGAAAGAGCAGGGTTGTAGCTTCATAGACATGGATAAGAAACCCCTAGACACTAGCAACAAGCTGTTCTAGTGCGAAAAGGCCTAATGTGTACATGTTGTACATGTATGTGTCTTATATATTTTTAAAAAGTAATTGTCTTCCTGCATAAGACAGCCACCATGTAATGATAGTGTGATCTTTTTACTGGCACCAGTATTTTAATCCAACTGGTCCTTGAGGTGGTCCACTGTACAACACACCACAACATGCAGTGATAAAAATTACAGAGCAAACTACTTTTTAATCGAAATACCTTATTAGTCACTTACGTATAACTCATATTTTAGAATATGCAGACTATCTTGCTTGGGTAGACACGCTCTGTTTTGGTAAAGGCGAGGATAAAATTGTACTGCAAAGTAGTACACCAAAAATGAAATATCTTAATGAGGCACAGTTACTGCATTGTCAAAGAAAGATATCTTAACCTATGCATTTTACTGAGAATAAATGGGAATGCAGGATCCCTTGAACACAGAGCTATGCATGAAACTTGAAACTTGGATGACAAGTTGTATAATTTAGTCCGACTGCATATCAGGGCTGCGAAGATTCTTAAACATGGAATGCTTCAAAATTTGGTGTTGAATATTGACAAAGTGAACAGAATATTCCAAATTCCAAGAAAGCTCACTGAATTAATTTACTTGCTCATATTGTGGTGTGTTGTTGCTCTCCCACATTACACTGTGCCTAGTTATCTTTCTTCTCTGTATCTGTAGCAGATTCGTCATCTGAATATTCTGTGGGCTCCTCCCCTGGTTTCAACAGCTTGCCGACATAGTCATATTTTTCTGTGGGAATGACAAGAGGGTACTCAAACAATTCAATTAAAAATATGAATAGAGCAACAATTTCCACAAGATGAAAAACTAATAAGCATCTGGGAAGGAAATTCATTTTATTTAGAGAAAGAAAGATAAGAGCAAATGTAAAACCAAGGTTCAAAAGCTTACGTGTGGGTTCACTTCTGTACAAAGTTGAGAAACAAAGATCATGTTCAAGTTAATGCTACACGTATATCTCAACGTTGAAGTTAATGCTATATCTCAACTATCAACTACCTGTATTCTACAACTATCTTGTGGCTGGTTCACAATTGATATTTACTTTGCTGTAAATTTGCAGTTATATTTCCTGCTGCATCTATATTCGATTGGGCTCTCATATCATATTAAAGTTAATATGAAACCTACCCATGAACTGCATTTCCCATTCCCGGACGCCATCCAAAGATTCCTTGTCTAGATCAGCAAGGTCATCATATTCATCTTTGAAAGAATCCTTATCCAAAGAGAATGTTGCCAAGGCACGGGAAGCATCGTGACCAGCAAAAACACCATACGGACCCCCTGTCAAAAACATCACAATAAAGAAAATATGGAATAAAAGCTAAATAATTTTTTTTCAGAAAGTTTACTCATTCACACTTCTTAGAACTGCACTGATATACTAAAACAATTGGAACAAATGGTATGCCAAACTAATGGCACATTTTTTCTTATTTAGTTATCTATTTTTAAGGAGGGGGGGGGGGCGTTGAACAATTTATATTTAATTAACTTTAACATATGTGATGCGATCAAGCTACATGCATTGTTTGTCGGGAATTTTCATTTGGAGATACAGGCCAAATAGGGCCACCTCATTAAATTATTTAATCACATCTCTTGGTGTTCTGACTTCCATAAGTTTTGAAGTGAAGATAGTATCAGCGTGCGGTTTTCACAGCAGTAATGCTGAGATTGTGCTTTTTTCAAATCTGTAATAAAAATATTTCTGACCGGGGTCGATAAACGACTCATTTAGCTTGATCGCATCATATATTTTTATTAATTGTAACACTCATTGTTTCAAAAGAGTCTCAGCTATTTGGGAATTTGATCACGAAATAGCACCTGATTTTGTTTTGTGTTTTGAATATGACATATTACTTTTTAACAGCTCTTCAAATAGAAAGACATTATTCATACATGTACAATGCATGTTGTACGTGTACTTTAAGGTTGAACCTTTCACATACATGTATTTCCAAATTATTAAAAAGACACATTGGCACTTTGATTTGGTTCATGCATGGCATGCACATGCACACAAGCCAACAGCGAGTACAGGTAACATATTTGCAACAAGTTACAAAGTCCACTGGATTTACACCTTGACCACAGACAGATTATTCAGTCTCTGTTGACTTAAACAAGTGTGTGTTATTCCTTTAGCTGGCTACAGATATACATGTACTTTTATAATGGTTGCCTATCTGATCTGCATTTGTTCACATATTTGCTGCTTGCATAATGGAACCCTTTCTGTGTCTGGTCCAACGTCTGATATCTAAGCATGCAAATTTATGCAACTCCGGGTGTGCCAGCCAAAGGGGGGACGACATAACAGCATTTCATTCTGAAATCTGGAATAAGATGTCGATTGGTCAATTTGGATGCAAAAGGTTGGACATGTACCAATCTAGTCTAAGGTTTCAATTGAAATCACTCAGTTGCAAAATGTTAAAGAAAAGGCTCTTTTAAAATTAAAGTTGAGCCTTCAAACTTGGCTGGTGAAATACTCAGGACCTTGTCATTCTCTCAAGAAAATTTTAGAGAATTTTATTGGCTAAAGAATGAGTAAAGTTGGCCATATTTTGTGTTGCACGGCTTCTTTTGCACTGAAGATCCCTGTCTGTTGAGGACCTAGCAGTGCACAAATCACAAATATTATTATAATAGCTAAAACAGCTATACAATAGCTAAAAAATCAAAACTTTTTAGATGTCTTTAACCTTTCTACCATTTTTCATATCAGACAGAATGTGTACTACCCAGGCTCTGTATTTACGTCCATATGCCCCATTGCAATAAGGGAATAGTCTGTCTTAGTTCATAAGTTAGAACGGGTCCTACTAAAATGCGTCACCAAGTTTCAACTGGCTTCAACAAGCATCAACTCAGAGTCAACATATTTTGTATAAGTTTTTGAACATCAGAAGTAGCTTTATAAATTATGTGCTAGAAATAGCATTTTTTGGGGGATTTTTTTTTACATACCCCCGCATACCGTTGTATTCTATGATGTCTCATCTTTTGCCCTCCGGGTAGATTAGGTAATGTTTCTTCAAATTTTTTGAGAAATTTTGACATCTTTCTGTCCATATGCGCCCTTTTCGGACTAAATCCTCAGTACGTTGGGAAACCAGATGAAGTAATTGCAGAATACACCGCCACTCGGAAATACACCCCTAAAATCTCTGGTTACAAGGTTGGAATCACTGGGAAAGAAACAATTTCTGTCCATTGCCAGCTACGCGGATACTGAGTGGGGGTCCCCTTGAGAATGAAGCAACACAACCGAGTTCAGTGGAGCATGACGTTTGTTGGCCTAGTACATGCAGGTAGCACTGAGGTTTGTTGAAGGCAATCAACCGTGTCTCCGTAGCCGGCTACGAGGTGGATAGATAATAGATAGAGTGGCGGGGTATTCTGCAATTGTGCCAACCAGATGTGTGGCTAGCCCCATAAATGTGGCCAATTTACTGGACTACCTGCGTAAATAAAGGCCACACTTCCACCATGTACAAAAACATGTAGAACCTTGTCAATTTTTGATTTTCACATGAGGCTTAGTTTGTAGGTTTTTTTTGCTTTGGAAGCATAATCACCCTCTTTATAGGCTAATCAGAAAGTGGTACCTTTTTCAGATGTCTAATTTTCGTGAAGTTGTATGTTGAAATTTTGATACGCAAATGTGTGCAAACGAATCTGGAAAAAATACAAAAATCACACAAAAATGGACATCTGAAAAAGGCAGCACTTTCTGATTAGCCTATAAAGAGGGTGAGCAAGGTGAGTTTTAGTTCTAAAGCCAAAATAAACTACAAACTAAGCCTAAATGTGAAAATCAAAATTTGACAACTTTGACATGTTTTTGCACATTGTGGAAGTGTATTCCGAGGAACTAGGACTCTACGGATCGCTTTTTAACATTTGGACATGGTCGGGCGATAGTATCGCCCGACCATGTCCAAATGATAAAAAAGCGATCCGTAGAGTCCTAGTTTACTCGGACTAGTGGAAGTGTGGTTTTACGGAGGTAGTCCAGTAAATTGGCCATATCTATGGGGCTGTCACGCCCCAACTATCGCATCGGTCCCAACTATAGTTGGGACTATCCCAACTATAGTGCGGCAGTTGGGTCGGCCCAACTATAGTTAGGACTGGAGTTGCGCCGGATGCTTCATGCTTGATAGATCTTGTTGGATTAAATGTTCCGCGGCGCTGGCACCGTGTATTCGTCGTGCATGCATGCCGCAAGGCTGGCCGGTCACGTGGTACTGCCTAGTTGGATGAGTTGTCCAGCTGCTGCTGGGTTTTATTGTCCAGCAACATTTTGCAAAATTCAAAGATTGCCATGGCCGGCCAACTATAGATGGGCCCCACCCATAGCTAATGTCAAAGGTCCCAAGTAAAGTCGGACAGTATGTAACAGAGCTGTAGGGAATGTTTTATAGTCGTACATCAATGTAAACTATAGTTGGGACTGCCAAATAAAAATATTGCGGTGGCCCAACTACAGATGGTCCCCACCCATAGATAATTTCATTGGTCCCAAGTAAAGTCAGATGTGTATTAGAGTTGTAGGGAATGTTTTATAATCGTACAACAATGTACACTATAGTTGGGACCGCAAAATAAAAAGATTGGAGTGGCCCAACTATAGATTCGCCCCATCAATAACTAATTTCAGTGGTCCCCAGTAAAGTCAGACGTGTATCAGAGCTGTAGGGAACGTTTTACAGTTGTACATCAATGTCAACTATAGTTGGGACACCGCAAAATAAAAAGATCGGAGTGGCCCAACTATAGATGGGCCAGCCCAACAGTGGAACTTACAGTTGGGACCGTCCCAACTATAGTTGGGACAGGCCCAACTATAGTTGGGCCAGCCCAACTGTGGAACTACAGTTGGGACAGGCCCAACTATAGTTGGGACAGGCCCAACTATAGTTGGGACCGATGCGATAGTTGGGGCGCGACAGGGCTAACGTGTGGCCTAACGTACAGCGCAGCAATAAGGAGGCCACATGCCACACAAGTTGGGCTACCGTGTCGTGAGCACGCAAGTCACCCTGCACAGTACGGCACTGCCACAGACAGGGCTCTGGAGTGCTCTGAAACGTGCAAAATTAAATCAAGCCCACTTTACTCACAGTTTAGCCAGCAAATTTGTCCAAAAATTCCACTGGAGCAAAGAAAATATCCTCAATTTTTCACCAACCAAGTTTGCAGACTGAATTCAATTTTTAAAGGAGACTTTTCTTCAATATTTTGCACATGAGAGGGAAATCAAGTGATTTCAAATGGGGCTAAATCCTAGACAGGTACATGTCCAACCATGGTCCAACTATTTGAAAAGACTGACCTCTTCAGTCAGTGTCAATAGTCTGGTGGCTTGACTATGAAGAAATGTGTAGTTCCCGCTTCATGCCACATGTTTCTTAAAGTTTTGGCATGGTTGATTGATGCAGTACTGTTGAAGCTGTGTTGGACTGGTTGTTTTAGTTTAGGTGCCAGTTTTTTTTCTTGTTTTGCATGTTTTCAATACCTTAAGTTTTGGGACTCTACACAGTATTATTGAGACTGAGAGTCCCAAATTTTCGGACAATCACTGCCACTGCCAACCGGCCTGTAAACCGCGTAGGAAATTCGTAATTTCTACCCCAAGAAACTGTTCAAACATTCTCAAAAAGGTGTAATTACATTGAGAGAAGTCTGCTTTAGGTTGACAATGTCATTTTTTAGCAATTAAAACATTCTTGATTCTCATAGTAGTCATACCTGGTCCGTAAAATCTCCTTCCCCGTGATACATCAAAAACTTTGCCGTTCACAGCCACTAGCACTCGTTTGTCTGGGCCGGTACCGTCGTATTCTTTCAATTCTTGCAGGGTGAAATCTCTCTTCTTCATTTTCGGGAGTGGTGGGTCTCTCGGTGGATCTGGCTTCCTTCTACTCCCAACAAAGATTTTGTACACCAAAAACCCACAAACGGACAGTAATACGAGATTTATTGGGTTGAAAAACAGCTCTCTCAAAAGTTCCTCGACCGCCATCTTGATTCAAACGAAGATTATGTGTGTTGGGACGTTAGTCTGGTTGACCATTTCAATCTTTGCATTCGCTATAAGAGGCGACTGGATACTAGACCGATTATTTGGCTTGTTGCGCGCTTCTCCAATGCTAAAGGTAGCCGCTAATTCGGCCGTATTTGTGGCCGCGTATTCAGCCGCACATTTACCAAAAGTCGATGAGTCTTTAATGCATGCGGCAAAAGGTGATATAGCTTCCAAGTTCATTATTTTATTCAACGGGTTTTTTTATGGTTAATTACACAATAACAATTTTTTTTTATCAAAACACACAACATAAGAGCCACAGTTTTTAGTTTTATAAGCCATTTGGCAATCCTGATGCAATAATTACTGTTAAATTAGCTGCCTAATGGAACTCATCACATTTCGCGTTATTTTTCAATGCTTTTAGAGATGTTGGAAAGCGAATGATCCGTTTAAAACAAAGTGTACTCCACGTGATGTCAACAATTCACAATTGCATAGGTGATGTGCCTTGGTACACTATATTTTGGTATTGGCTTTAGCCGAACACTCAGTGGCCCGGTTTCACGCCTTGATATCTGCTGCACTATGATAACTGCCCATTTTAAAACAAAGTGTACCTCACATGTTGCCAATAACTCACAATGCGTGTGAAAATCTACAACGTCAAGTGCCTGGCTAGGCATACTTAATTTTGGTATTGGCTTCAGCCAAACACCAAATAGTACCTATTTGGCCGTTAGGGTGACCCTATCATTTTCTCACTGCAATCGGAATTCGTCTGTTTTGTTTTTTTCATTCGCGTATATCACTGCTCCTTTAAAACAAAGTGTACCTCACATTGCTGTCAATTAATAACTCATACTTTCATTTTTAAAAAATAATCTACGAGATCATGTGCCTGGGCACACTTGATTTAGTTCCTAATTAGCCCGTGAAACGATTACCCCATTTTCACTGCGCTATTGTAATGCACTCAACTTTGATCTGCTGCGTATACCAAAATAAAGTGTGTTACGTCCATGAGGCACACTTTGATCTCGCAGATATGATTACATAAAATTATGAGTTATTGACAACATGTGAGGTACACTTTGTTTTAAAGGAGTAGTGATTATACGCAGACGAAAAGAACACATTACAATAGTGCAGTGAAAATGGGTCACTTTGAACGGTCTAATTAGGCACTAATTAGTGTTTGGCTGAAGCCACCAAAATTAAGTGTGCCCAGGCATACGATCTCTAGATTGCGACATGCAATTTATGAGTTACTAACAACATGCGAGGTACACTTTGTTTTAAAGAGGCTGTGTACAGTGACGCATTACAATAGTGCAGTAAAAATGTGATCACTTTATAACGCAACGGGCTAATTAGGCACTAATTAGTGTTCGGCTGAAGCTAATACCAAAATTACGTGTGTTCAGGCACACGATCTCGTAGATTATGACATAACATGAGTTATAGGGGCACTATACCCACTTAGAAATGAACGCATTACAATAATGCAGTGAAAATGGAGTCACTTTCATCGGCTTTGAAGCCAATACCAAAATTAAGTGTGTCCAAGCACAGAATCTCATAGATTATTACATAAAATTATGAGTTATTGACGTTCCTTTGAAACAAAGTGTACCGATGTCAAATTATTTGCCAACATGTGAGCTGAGGAAACCAGAGGCCAATTTTACGGCGTTGCTGATCAAAAAAAAAAGAAGCTTAGCACAAAAAGGTCTCACCTACTATAAAAGCACCAACCAAAACTCCACGTGATGTATATTGCTCGTGATTAGTACTCAGCTGTTGTTTGCTTAGCATTAAAATCACATGGAGTTTTGGCTGATAACCTGCTCTTATAGCCAGACTTTTTTTGTGCTTCAAATTTTTGTGCTTAGCAGCGCCGTGAAATTTGGCCCAGATGTCACTGAATACCCATCCACTGACATCGACGGGGGACTCCAACCTCATTATCACCATCATCATCCTCATCCTCATCATCATCACCTCACATGTTGTCAAATTATCTGCCAATGTGAGGTTCAGTGATATACGCAGACGAGAAGAACGAATTCCAATAGTGCAGTGAAAATGGGGTCACTTTAACGGGCTAATTATACACTAATTAGGGTTCGGCTGAAGCCTATACCCAAATGAAGTGTGCATAGGCACATGACATTGTAGATTATGAAATACATTGCAAATGTTTGACACCGACTGGAGTATAATAAAGTCCTTGTTTCAAATTATGCATTCGTTTTCCAACATCTTTAAACTGAGCATTGACAACAAATGAGAAACGGTGATGATTTCCATTAGGCTCCTTATTCAACAGCAATTACTACATCAAGATTGCCAAATGGCTTATGAAACTGTGGCTCTTATACGTTGTGTGTTTTGACATGGCTTGAAATTTGCTTGTTATTTGCAGTTTATTTTGAAAAATTTGTTGAATGAATGTTATCGTTGGAAAATAAATCACCTTATGCCGCATGTTTTAAAGATTTTTCGACTTTCGGTGAAAGCAAGGCTGAATACGCGGCCGAAAATCCGGCCAAATCTGCGCCTACCTTGAGCCTGGTGCACTAACCTAAATGGAGATCAACCGCGATGAATTCAGCAGAAAGCAGAATTAAGAGATACAAATCCAGAATCCATGCAAAAAAGGGATGAGATCTTTATACAGGGCGTTTCAAAAAAGAGCAAACCCAACTTCAAAAAATGAGTATACGAAAGTACGAAAGTACGAAAGCCCATTAGCGCCACTGCAAGTATATATGTTGCGGATTATTTAATTCGTTATTACGGATTATTAATTCGTTATTACGGATTACTAATTCGTTATTACGGATTATTAATTCGTTATTACGGATTATTTAATTCGTTATTACGGATTACTAATTCGTTATAACGGATTATTTAATTCGTTATTACGGATTATTAAATCGTTATTACGGATTTTTAATTCGTTATTACGGATTATTTAATTCGTTATTACGGATTACTAATTCGTTATAACGGATTATTTAATTCGTTATTACGGATTATTAATTCGTTATTACGGATTACTAATTCGTTATTACGGATTACTAATTCGTTATAACGGATTATTTAATTCGTTATTACGGATTATTAATTCGTTATTACGGATTTCTAATTCGTTATTACGGATTACTAATTCGTTATTACGGATTATTTAATTCGTTATTACGGATTACTAATTCGTTATAACGGATTATTTAATTCGTTATTACGGATTATTAATTCGTTATTACGGATTATTAATACGAATTACTCATACGTTCTGAGTCATTACTCGGCAAGTATGGCACAGGAGTGCAAACGTTGTATGCAAAGATAGCACCACCTAGCGGCACTATATACACAGGCCCCTGGTCACGTGCTCTCCACGTGTGAGAACATCAGACCTAATTCGTAATAACGAATTAATAATCCGTAATAACGAATTAAATAATCCGTAATAACGAATTAATAATCCGTAATAACGAATTAAATAATCCGTTATAACGAATTAATAATCCGTAATAACGAATTAATAATCCGTAATAACGAATTACACAATCTGTAACATATATACTTGCAGTGGCGCTAATGGGCTTTCGTACGTATGTATATATGTTACAGATTATGTAATTCGTTATTACGGATTATAAATTCGTTATTACGGATTATTTAATTCGTTATTACGGATTATTAATTCGTTATTACGGATTATTTAATTCGTTATTACGGATTATTAATTCGTTATTACGAATTAAGTCTGATATTCTCACGCGTGGAGAGCACGTGACCGGGGCCTATGTATACCTTGCGGCGCTATATCTTTGCATAACGAATTAAATAATCCGTAATAACGAATTAATAATCCGTAATAACGAATTAAATAATTCGTAATAACGAATTAAATAATCCGTAATAATGAATTAAAAATCCGTAATAACGAATTAAATAATCCGTAATAACGAATTAATAATCCGTTATAACGAAATAATAATCCGTAATAACGAATTAATAATCCGTAATAACGAATTAAATAATCCGTAATAACGAATTAATAATCCGTTATAACGAATTAATAATCCGTAATAACGAATTAATAATCCGTAATAACGAATTAGTAATCCGTAATAACGAATTAAAAAATCCGCAACATTTATACTTGCAGTGGCGCTAATGGGCTTTCGTAGACAAGAAACCTTATATATATAAGATATATTTTCCCCCAAGTTCGTTTTTACGAGATATATTTTGTCGAAGTTCGTTTTTGTGAGATATATTTTTCCCAAGTTCGTTTTTATGAGATATATTTTGTCGAAGTTCGTTTTTATGAGATGTATTTTTCCCAAGTTCGTTTTTACAATTTTTTTTTCCAAGTTCGTTTTTACCAGATTTTCTTGTGTGCAAAGTGTCACGTGCGTTGGCGTTTATCACTTGTAATTCTGTTAGGACATGCGAGTTCTGGATCGATCCTAGGCCCAGCCCACGCTACAGGCCCTAGTCTGGTTCCCAGACCTGACAATTATTCCCGACGCTCACGTCAAAATTGTAGGTCAGGCAGCCTCCGTGGCTAAAAATAAATATGACAACATTGCTGACCCTTTTTCAAAGTTCGGCTTCGTTTCCAATTTCGCTTTATCGCTTGTAGCTTTTAATGTTCTGATCAAATTTTTAATTAAATCACTTGCTTTGTAATATCATATAGTTATGATAATACAAGTTGATGTTTCTGTAAGATAACATTGACTAATGTTGATCTGGAATCTTCAAAATTAGGCACAAAAAAATAGCACTGTCAGCAGGCGGAGCCGAATGAAGACCGATTTTTGTAAAATCTCGGTAACAGTCGTCAAATTCAAAATTGTACATGACGCAGCAGGAGGTTCGCCCATACGATCCGAGTATATTTTGATGCACAAAATCGTCGTTGAATTTCAAGTTTTCTAAATGAAAGCAATGAATATTAATTATCAACTCATTTAAAATAAAATTAATAAGCAATTAGCATTTAATTAAATCT